TTAAATAATATCTATAAATATTAATTTATAAATTAATTTTAATTTATTAATTAATAAAAAATTATTATTTTATCATTTATTACCTATAATTATTAATTATTTATATTAATTAAATTAAATTAAATTAATATTTTTTAAAATCATATTTTTAATTTTAATAATCTTAATATTTTTATTAGTCACCATAATTATTTCTTTATTTTTTTAATAAATTATATTAAAAATGTAATCAATTGCCCTCTCTTTTATAATTAATTTTGTTGCGTATAAATTTGCTGCCAGGAAAAAAAGTTTCTTCAGTCAACCCAAGTCATCTTTTGTAGGTTAAATGTCAGTCTCAACTTTAAAATTTTATATAATTTTTATTATTTAATTATATTTTTTTTATTTTTTAATTATAAAAAATATATAATTTTTAGTTAGATTATTAATTAATTTATTAAATTTGCATATGTTCAAAAAAATTTTATTAAATTTACATAAATCTTAAATATATATTTTTTAACTTTTAAACTCTTAAATTGATCAAATTAACATTTAATCTATTTTATGTTGCTTCTCTAAATTCTTTTTTCTATCGAGCTGAGGTTTACTAACTATCTCTAACTAATAAAAAAATAATATTTGTGATATATTATGAAAATTTTCTATCATATCAATTTTTTTGGTTGACGTGGTGTCTACGGTATGCTTCAGATTTTTTCCTCCAACTTTCCTAACCATTTCCCTGTATATTATATTATCTACCGTCCCCCCTCTTTCCTAACGCGGCCACTTCCCTATATATTATATTATCTATCGTCTGTTTAGTTATAGATGTCGAAAATTTGGGAAGATTGTTTCCATATTATTTCCAAGTCTGCTAGGATAGAGTTGGAGAATGAAGCTACTTTCTTCTGCATTTTTGCTGGCTTCTACTCACTTCTGCTTCATCTTCTTCTTGTCATCAGTCGAAAAATCCAGAGCTCAAAATGCCACCACTGACCCATCCGAAGGTACTTCACTTCTCTATTCTCTTTGTCTGCCGCATCGACTCATCTTGATCTAATATCCATATAAATAATAAAAAAAAGTACCTATCAGTTTTACTTTCTAAATATTAGAAAAAAAAATTATCCTAAAATTATATCGTTTCAATAAATTTTTATTAAAAAAGACTAAACTATCCTATTTTTAAAGCATGCATTAAGATGATTTTTGTCTTTTTTCTTCTTTATTTTTTATAGATAAGGTGAACAAACACTGATTCCAAATAATAAATATATATGAATAAAGATTCGCATACATATAATATTTCTATAAAATCTTGATAATTTATTTTTTCACTCTTAATAATTGAGATTTATTCATGTTTTTATTTTGTTTATTAATTAT